AAATTTATAGTAGGTGCACAAGTCCATTTGTCACGTGTATAGTCACGCTTATTTAATGTTTTCATATGATGAGTCTATTCGTCATATGATGAGTCTATTTGTCACGTGTATTTACACATTCGTTTAGTGTTTTCATATTATGAGTTTATTCGTCACGTGTATTTTCATGTTTATTTAATGTTTCCATATTATGAGTCTATTTGTCACATGTATTATCATATTCATTTATTGTTTTTACATTATGAGCCTATTCGTCATGTGTATTGTCACGTTTATTCAGTGTTGTGGATCTATCATGAGATTACCCGGAATCTCAACAAAAATTATTTCTTGTTTATTCAATTGCAATGACAAAGTAATAATATTGAATCTAAAGAAAAATTACAATTCTTTTTAATTTATTTACATATAATGTTAATTCGAAAGGGGAACTTTGAAGCAATGTTGAAGTTGTTTCCGTAGGTCACGAGTTTGGTGTTCAATACGAGTGCGGATCTAGAGGTTGGATCCTTCAAGATAAGATTCGAGGGTGTTGAAATTTGCTTTTAGTTACTTGAGTAGTTTTTAACAAAATAAGTTGTTTAGTTTAAGATAAACTTGAATTTTGAATTTCAGTTAGTTTGTTTATGTTGAAATATTTTAGGTTGTTTAAATTTCAAATTACACAGATTATTTGTTTTATGTTGGCTATTTAAAGCCCTCAATACTTAATAAAATGATTGAAATCAATTGAAAGTCATTTCAATCCCAAGAGACATTTTCAACCCTTTTTTGCTGCCCCATCTTTTAAAAAACCAACGGCAATATCAAGAGTCTCATTATCTTACAGATCTGTAAGTTCTTCAAAGAACTAACATAACATTTTTAACTCGTAAAGGCTGCCATTTTAACCCGTAAGTTGCTACCCTTTCAACCTGTCAGGGCTACCCATTTTAACCCGTTGGGGCTACCATTTTCAACCCGTGCTTATTTTCAAAGCACAAGGCTAGTTTAAACAAATATCGATGTCAAACAATAGTTTCTCTTTGAATGCCCAAAAAAGTTTCACTGACAAAAACTATCAGATTTAGTCAGTAAAAATGAAATCATATTTTATAACCTATGCCATATGTGTTGTTGTGATGGAAGAAAAATACTTAGAACAACACTTTGCAAATCTTACAATTGTCCATATAAAAGCACTTTCAAATGAATTTCTACACAAGGCAATGTCATGGAAGGTGTTTTCGAAGCACAAAATGAAAAGAAGAAAAAGATAACTATCCGAAAAATGTGAAGTTAAAAAAAAACAAGAAAAATTCAACATCAATTGCTTAGAGCAAAATTTTTTTTTTTTTTGATGACAAGGGAAACCCGCAGCCGCTACCCTTTGGGTGCGCACAGGGTAAAACCCCCGCTCCTATGCAATAGCTCGCAAACCACATAGGAGAGGTAACCCACACTAGGCAAGCCTGGTGCGACGAGCTTGACCCAGAAGGCAAACCCCTTGCTTTCGCTGGCAAGGGGTTTCGAACTTGAGACCTCCAACATGGAAGTCCCAAGCTCAAACCACTGGGCCACCCCGAAGGGTAATTGCTTAGAGCAAAAATTGAGGAGCAGTTTTTAAAATTGCAGTAATTAAAGCAAAGGGGGAGTGTTGAAATTAGCTTGTAGTTACTGCAGTAGTAAAATAAGTTGTTTAGTATAAGATGAACTTGAATTTTAGTTAGTTTGTTTATGTGAGATACTTTAGGTTGTTTAAATTTCAAATTATGCAGATTATGTGTTTTATGTTGACTATTTAAAGCCCTCAATGCTTGATAAAATTATTGAAATCAATTAAAAGTCAGTTCAATCCAAAGTGAGACATTTTCCACCCTTCTTTTTGCTGCCCCATCTTTTAAAAAAACCAACAGAGGGTATGGATCCAGGTATGGATATGGGTGCACGAATTTCACTAAAAATAATTCAAACATCAAAAAATATAGTTATAAAAACCTGCTTAAATTATGATGGACTATTTGAAAGGACAGGAATGCATGAATTTTTCAAAACAAGTTTGAATTTGTAATTATTATAAAGTACAAAGGCATTTCCTTATTGTTTTGATGTAATGTGGCTATGATAAATGATTTTTTTTTCGAGAATTGGTAAATGATATAAAGCATGATACATTTCTTGAGTTCATGGCACATTCAACAGTGATGTTGATATGTAAATATCTTTAAAGTTCCTTCTGGTTGCGGACTTTTTAATACAAATATCTTAAAACAATAATAAATTATGATTTTACCCTCGCTTTTGTTTTGAAAATCATTGTATCTGTCTCAAATTTCTCGATCAATTTGAGTCAAAAGTACCAACAATCTGTTTACCAGGTAAGGGTCTGTAGCCATTTTTGACCAGGATCCCCAAGGTTCAAGTCATTGTGTCATTGGGATATCATCTTAATAGACTTATGACATATTGGAATATGATGTAGTGCTTATGCTGAGATTTTGCATGTCACAAAGTCTTATCCTAAGCACTTGCCATCTTTTTTTTCATATGCACTTAACAAGACGATAAGATTTTGAAGTAAAAGGAAGAATGATTTTTGAAATGCTTCATGCACTGCTTTTTGTGTGGTTCCATTATTGACTTGATCATTCATTGGTAATGACTTTGATGACACATTTAGCAGATTACTAGAAAAAAGATGCATGCGATTTCCGTTATTCTTGATGAGAAGCTTGTGCAATCTTTATTAAAATATACATAGAGTGGGTCGTGCAAGCAAGAATTATGTTTCGAGTAGGAAGTATATTTTCTTGAGTAACATGTGTAATTGTACAACAACATAACCAGTGAAGTCTCACAAGTAGGATCTGGGGAGGGTAGAGTGTGTGTAGATCTTTCCCCTATACCTGGAGCAAATCAAGTAGTTATAATGTGAAGGAATAATTGTATTTCCATAAATCAGGATACTTTTCTCTTTGTATAGGATACATTAAGTTCTAAGTAAGGCCTATTAGACTATTAAGTGTGCCATGCTTTCTCCATCCTTGTGTTTAATACAAAACTTCGTACATTCTTGTATTTATACATGACTTAACTCTTCTCTAGAGAACCTTTTCCTTCTCTCATCTTAATTGTTAGAAATATGCATGGTTGTTGATTAAATTTTGGAGGGAGGCTTACTTGACTTCTCACAGAGGAGAAATTTCTACATCAAGTATGAAGGAGTGAAGAACTTTTATGTTATTATTTTAACCTTTCCTTCTCAAAATACTTGTAGCCTCATGAGTACATTTCTTCTATGAGATGTTTGTATAGTGAAATATGTGAAATTACACATGCTTCTCTTGTATGTTTGCATCACCATTTCCTCAAAATGGTACTAGTGTCATTCTGAGAGATATACGTAATGCATGCTCATTTTGCAATAAAGTGTTTGTGAAATGTTGTTAACATGTGTACTTTGACGACCTAGTTTTGTACTTCTGTTTATAAACTGATTTGGAATAAAAGTTTGAAAGAAACAATATATGACACTAATTCAAAAAAATAATTTGAAGTAAGGAGTTGTGCTGGACTTTGTGGATAGATTTTTTGCCTTGAATGTATTACTTATGGTGAAGTCAAATGATTAGCGATTTGGAAATTTCTACAGAGTGATAGACAATTTAGTGTAGTAGCACAAAACATAATAGTTGGCTATCCAGTGCCAGCCTTGTTCTGATTGCACAAATTTGTTTTTAATTTTGTCCAAATGTGATGTAGTTTGTACAACGTCATGTGGATAATGGGAAGTGAGAGGTGCAATTAGAAGGACTCTATATCCCAATATATAAGAAGAGTATAGATGCAGACATAGGTAGAAGGGCATTCATTAAATAAAACAGAGGAAGATAAAGGGAGTGGGTGAGACCATGGTGAGGAGTTTCCTACGGAAGAAGTATGAGTGGAGTTGGGAGCTGCGAAGAAGACGCAATTGCTGGTCTCAACGGTTTCAACATGGATTTATTTCATTGTTTCTGGAACATAGCCAGGAGTGACATCATTGAAGGTGGTAGAAGACTATTGAAGTATGGAGAAATAAGAATAGGATCTCGACACATCTTTTACTGCAGTTATTCTAAAAGATGGTGGAGCATGCTTCATCTCGTGCTTGCAAGGCACAAGGAAGGGAATACATAGGTGAATATAGGAATAAAACTAAGTGTCACACTTGATTTTTAAAATTATAGACATGCATATAATAATCATATTAAGTGCTCCGCATTAGTTGAGGAAATAGATTGTTGTCTCTTTGTATGGTTTTGAGCAACGCTCACCTCATGAGCTAGCTTTTAGAGTTGATTGAAAGCAATCATTCATTTTCTTAACATGATGTTAGAGCCAAACACATCCTTGTTCTTGGTTCGCCCAATATCATCCACATAACAGATTTTCCATCGTGGGCGTGCAGCAGGAGGGGGGAGAGTTTTAAGTGTCCCACATTGGTTAAGGGAATATATTGTTGTTTCCTTTATATGATCTTAGGCAATTCTCTACTCGTAAGATAACTTTTGGGGTTGAGTTAGAGTCAATGTCTGTTTATTAACAAATTATAACATGCAGTAGCCTCGATATATTACCTATTCTTCCTCCTACCTTAATTAAATCCATCAGAGGTATAAGAAAGCATAAAAATGTGGTCACACTATAAGAGATGCAATATAATACCAGATTGATTTTGTAATGTATAACCTAAATAATGCCTTATAATAATCTGTCCACTGCAATATGTATCAATGTGTATTGACCAAGAGCTACTTTTTCGAATTACTGCTTCAAATTCATTTTGCTAGTACAAGGGGAGTCTTAAATATGTTCCAGAATGAGGTGATTCGTTATGGAACTTGTTATTACAGTACCCTGCTCCTTCTTGTACTGTGCAAAGAAATAGATGTTACTATTTCATTAAAACTTCATGCTAATATTTCTATTTCATTACTCCGGACGAGTTCTTTGATTCTTTCTCCTTTTGACTGTTGCAGATATTCCAATAGAGTGGAACTCGATGTTGAACCAGCTTGACCAACTCGGATTTGATGGTTTGGAGGTTCACGTACTTCTTAGACGTTGTTTATCGCTACTTACTTTACTTGGACATCTTTCTAGTTTTGAAGTGCCATTTATGTTTTTTAAAATGTTTGTAAATGGATCAAGAAGGAAAGTATAACAGGTAACTAGTTACTACAAGATATAGTGTACTTGCTCCTACACTCTTTGCAAATTCTTTTGGAGTAAAAAATAGTCAAAGTTTGATGAGAGCTGCCTTTTGTTTTAATATATAGTAATTTGGACCAATATTTTAGTAAGAAATTCTATTTTTTCTTCATACTGAAATAATGATGTGTTGTGTTTTTATAATATGATCTGGTCATGCAGTTATAGCTCTCATTTTGCAAGGAATTGCTTGCTCTGTAGTTTTTTCCTTTAATTTACTTGCATGTCCATCTCTTTTATGAGTCGTTTGGTATGTGAGATGAGATGAGCAAGATTTTTCATGAGATTGTTTTATCTCACCTTCTATATGAGATGATAATTGCGGGATTAACTGATACCTCAAATTAAATTTGGACCAAGTTAATCTTAAATATAATCTCGAGATTAATATTCTTATCGCATGTATGTATTGAATGACATTTACTATGTAAAGGTAAAGCAAAAATCTCAGGTACCATTAGAAAGGGAGAAATGGGAAAGTATCCACCTTTTGAACGGTTAATCAAACTTTAGTCTACGTTTGAAAATTAATTTAATTTAATTTTTTAATTGTTGAAGTATCGTTTAGACGGTGACATGATCATACTATAACATAAAAATCTTTAAATTTCAATGCTAACATGAAATATTAGACCCCATAAAGTGTTCTTCGAGTTAAAACTGACGGTTTGAATTTCAACTTTTATGAGTTCTTAAAAAGTTTGAGTTCGTTTTTATAAGTTTAAACTTCACAATTTTCATTGAACTCCAAGGCATAGTCTAGGAGTAACATTTATCGAAAATATATTTATAGCAAGATCTATTTGAATTCTAGCTAGATATATTTCAAAGCTTAAAACATTTGAAAATCATATTTGTCCAAAATCTATACTTGAACCCCGCTAAATTAACCAACACCACAAATGGAGAGGGGTGGGCGTGGTACGGTATTGAAAACCTTACCGTTTTTAAAGTTTGATTTTGATATTTTATTATACGGTAAATCGGTTACCATAGTTTGGTCAACTTTAAGTCTTCAACTTACATATATTAGTGTAATAAAGAATTATGAAAGGGCTTTTCAAGAAATATCTCAATTGTATCATACTAATACCTTATACATGTAAAAATATTCAAAAATAAAGTACAAACAACTCTCTCAATCACTCACCCAAAAAGTACATATAAATCAAGACAGACTAATCAAAATTTCAACATCTAAATAATTAGTTTTATATATATATATATATATATATATATATGAATTTTATACGTAACTATATATTTCGATACGATATTTCAGTATTTTTTTTTATAAATACCAAATACTAAAATTTTAAAATAAACACATATAAGATACCATATCAAATATTATAAAACTCAAATCACAATATTAAAAATTTCAATTTCACCATGATATTCGATATCTACCATACCATGCCTGCAATAGAGGTTTTCTTAATGGATTGTTTGTAAATGGGCTAACCCATCGGTGGCCCCCTAAACTTGGCACGATCTTTCACTTAGACACCTCAACTGAAGGATTTTCATTTTAAACACCTAACGTAGGGTTCCCATGTGTTACTTTAACACTTTTTACACAGGTGGAGTGTCGCGTGATTTTCACTCATTCAAGGCGCGTAAACATCAAATTTTCGTCTGATGTGGCGTCCCCAACGGTAATATTACTCCATATCATCTATTTATATTATTTTTTCTCCAATTGTACCATAACTAAGACCCCAATTTGTCTATTCTTTTCCAATTTCTCTCTTCTTCAGCCTTTCTTTAATTCTTGGCCCTTAATAATTTCATGTCGAGCTTCTCCAATTCTTCCATGGCATCTGTGGATGAAGGTCGATATTGTAGGTGTGGTAATGAAGCACTATTAAAGACTTCATGGACCCAATTAAATCCAGGGCGTAGATTTTTTACTTGTAGAATTTCAAAGGTAAAATTCTTTGTTCCCTTATTTTTTTCAAGTCAATTAGATGATTAATTGTTAGCGTCTAATTCTTTTTGATTGGTTTTATAGAAAATGGGTGGTTGTGACTATTTTCTTTGGTATGAAGATCGACACTCTCCACAAGCAAACAGGGTAATGTGGGGATTGTTGAAGAAAGTCAATGCTTTTGATGAAAAAATTAAAGCGAGCAAAAAATATATTTATTGTTGGTGTCGTTGCTACTGGGTTGCTGATGTTTGGAATATGGAAATTGAAGTCTAATTGTTAGTGATCTTCAGGTGTTTGGTCTAGTAGTATTTTGATGTTGTATTTGGTGTTCGATCTAGTAGTATTTTGATGTTGT